ATAAGTAGTATCATAGGACTCCCAGTCATACAAAGACTGTTCTATATTATTACTGTACACTTTACGGTTTACCGAATACTGCAATGGCTTTACATTAACCTGATTCACCCAATCACAGCTTGTGGTCACGTTTATATAAACTCGACGCCATCTCCCACTCCCTCCCGTCGTCTCCCCTCTTACAAAATCTAAAATCTGCCATCAGCTTACCCCTTTAAGCGGTGTTGGTGTTTTTAAAACCTTGTCACCAGTCATTCCCTCTTTCAACAAATAAACAACTGTTCCGCTGCGATTGACAGGTGGTTGCCATGACAACGTCAATGTGGTGACATTCCTGGTAGTATTATGGACTACTCCTGGTTTTCCAATAGTACTCCCATCGCCTTGGTAAATATTGGTCCAGCTTTTAGTAACACCAAGGAAAGTACAACTCTGGTTGCAGTTAACACTTGCATTTGGCTGTAAGGAAGAAAGAGTCGACATTGACATTTGAGCGATGTCACTAAGAGGTCACGTGACTCTACCCCTTAAGGAGGCTCAGGGTAGTTTTGGTCTGGCACACCTAGCCGCATTGAAACGACTACAACTTCATCTTGAATAACTCGATCTGCAAGCGCTTTTCACACAATGTCAGGAAAGGATTAAAGATTTCAAAAATGATAAATTAATTTAAAGCGGCCTTTTCATTATGACGTAATGATGACATCATAGAAATCGTTTACCGCTTATTTTCTCAAAAACTAGACTTAAACTTTCAAAGCGACTTGCACCAGTCGATAGTATTCATCAAGGCACCCAACATATTGCAATATGAAAAAAATGTATGAGAGCGTTTTTCAAATATTACGCGATGAATATTTTCTTGGACTTTTACTATTATTTCCAGCGTGTTAACTTTATACCCTCAAAATCGGGACTTTAATTTAGTGGATTCAATATTTTTAGTAGCTAGAATATAGGTACGGATATAGACACTGTCCTTATTGAGTATGAATCAAATTGTGACTTTCTTTCTAACGTTGTGGATTTTTTGATATGAAGCTAAATGACCCCATTTGTTGTAAAAAAGCGATAGAAAATATCGAAGAAAGCGACATTTAAAAAATCGTCGAACCATTTTTTTTCTAAATGAAGTCACTAAAAGATGTATCTTTTACAAATATTCTCCTTTAATTTCATATGCATTGAAGAGTTTTAAGGCAGTCAAATAAAAATAAGTACGTCATCAATCCTTTCCTCACATTGTCTGAAAAGTGTTTGCAAATCGAGTTATTCAAGACGAAGTTATAGCCGTTTCATTGCGGCTAGGTGTGCGAGACCAAAACCAGCCAGAGCCTCCTTAAAACGAGCAGTTGCGTGAAAAAATTAAAATATCATCTTGATAAAAAAATTTTTAAAAGTCCCCTTCACAATTCCCTGCGTCATCTTGACCTTAAAGAGTAACCGTGCCTGTGCATCGAAGCAAGAACAGCGGTGAAATTGCAATGATAGAGACATGTGTTGCAAGGTCAGTAGTATAGGGAATGGGGGTTCCAGCGCAATCTCAACACGGGCAAGACCCGTGTCAAAAATCCACCTACGGAAACAACCCCACTCCAAGTGTGGTTGGGGGCAACAGCGCAAATATGTTAGTCTATATATGGAGTGCGAAGAATGTAAAGAGTTTGTTTATGATTTCTGTGTAAAG